TATATATTCCCAATATTTATAATTTTTACAAGTTACTTGTTGTTCTTTTTTTTACAGGTCAAAATTCAAATATCGGGCATTTATCGGGTACCTATTGAACACCTATCGAGGAAAAATAAACATATCGAACACCTGATATAATTAATTATTACTAAGTACCCAATAATTAATTTTGTAAATTTTATCATGCGCCCGATATAATAGTAATAGGTGTGAAATAATTTTATTATTATCTCAGGTCCTCGATATTGGCTTAAATATCAGGTGCATGATACTAAAATAGTAATATCAGGTGGATGATATTCTAATTATTTTATTCAGGTACACAATATTATTATATGCTTATTGTATTAAATAATCTCTTTATTATTTATTATTAAATAAAATAAATTAAACATTAAATCTTTTATTCAATGGAATTATTGAAATATAATTTTTCTTATTCTTATTTTCCACCTGATAGTCTATCTTAATGACTCAACTATATATTTTATGTATTACAATAATCAAATCTATACCTTCCTCATAGTATTCTTCTCTCCACAACTTTGTATTTAATACTTCAAGTATACATGTCACCCAAATTCCAAATTATTTTAATATTTCAGTTGTCAAAATTCAGTTTTCATAGTTTTGGAATTTGAGATTTGATATAATTTGGAATTTGAGATTTTGGCAATTAGTAATTTAGGATTTGAGATTTGGAATTTGAGATTTAGTATTTTGAATTTGGGCAGTACCTATAACTTCAGGTGTCATAAATTTATACTTAAATTGAATACTAGAGAAAGACATATTTTTGTACCATTTGACGTAAACTAAAAGATATGTTCTGGTCCATTCGAAAGTGTAAATATATATTCAAAGTAATATTGTACCTTTCCAAGATAAATATCACTTGTTCTATCTTTAAAGACCTCTCATTTTGCTAAAATTATTATATTATTTTCATATCGACCTGCGATTTTGAATCAAAATATTTTATTTCCTATTATTAACCTTATATGTTGATTCATAATCACTTTCATACATGTCTTCACAGCTTTCTTTTTTAAATTATATAATATTACATATTACATACATAATCTTTTTTGGATTTTTACTGAAATACTTACCTTTTTATATATAGGTGCTAACATACGTCCTGATATATATTCAGTACTATAGATCTTATTGAATATATTATGTCTCAGGAAGATGAAATACTGTAACTCTTCTCTATCAAATTCATTAGTTACAGTTAAGCTGCCAGTAGTTTTTTTCAGTGCAAGAAATTGAAGAGACTTTTCTAAGAGACCAGATATCTATTAACAGGAAAGATGATAATTTACAAGCAAATTTTTGAGGATTATTTTTATAAGTTCAAGTTCAATCTGCTGATTACTATTGAGATAAGAACTTATGAAAGATTTGTGTTAAAATTTTATTTACTATAATTCATATATCTGATATTTAATCCTTTACCTATATATCCATTTAATCATTCATATAGGAATAGCTAAAAGCTATAAATAGAGCCATAATCCCATATGCATTTAGGAATATGCATTGATAAATAGATATTACTTGTAATGAATTCAGGTCCATAAGTTCTTTTATATTTATGAACATATCTCTTAATTGTTCTTGTGCTTCTTGCAGATCGTCTTCTGTAATAAATCTAGTAACTAATAAGTTACATGCCCAAACAAAATGTTTCAAAATCTTTTTACCATTATCATCTAACATGTTCTATAGAATTGTTATTACATAAATCATAATAAAGATCTTCTATTGATCAGTGGTGAGCTTTAAAAATCCTTCTCCAATAGTAATTTTTGAAGAGATTTGATCAATATCAGATGGAAGTTGAATGTTATCCATACTCTTTTGTGCTATACGAAGTTGCTCAGAATTTAATTTATTCTCTTTAATAAATATGAATTGAATAATTCATTTTGCAACCCCAAGGAACAAGTAGTGCATGGGATCCACTATTGTGAATCTGATTGGATCTATGTAAGGGAGACGAATTAATTTAGATTATCATACTCTATACTCTTTGAAATGAGCTTCACTTATTTCTCTGGTAATACATCTAAGCTATTCTTGAGCATATTGTTTATGTTCTTGGAGGTTCGCAGATTCTTTAATCCATTGTTCATACCATCATAATGAGTTTTTTGGAATTTTTTACTATATTAACTTCTTTTTAAGTACCTGTGGTATTTCATTACTACAGATCCATGTTCAAATAACTTTCTTGTAACTGGAATATTAAAAGAACCTACAATTATCATAACTCTTATATCAAGCTCATCCTTATTTTCATTTGTTTCAAAAATTCTCTATTTCTTTTATAATTCCTTAAGGTCATCAACTATTGGTGATAGATAATGATTAATTTGATTTTTATTAGCTTCCTTAGGTCCTGGGAGAAAACCCAAATAAATTATATTTTTGAGCTTATTTCTTTCGACCTTAAGGAGATTGCATATTAAGTATAAATAACACCAGTGCTATGTTGTATATATTTGAAAGGTTGAAACCAGTCTAAATTTATTAATAATCCTAAATTCGAGGTGACAGTTTCCAGACTAAAAAATTTGCTATCATCGAGAGAAAATAAATTTTAAATTTTTTCATTATATATATCAACATAGATATTGCTGTCATAATTTTTTGCACCTGATTAATTAAATCCTGATCTCTAGTATATGATACTTAATTGTTGTTTAATTGAAGGTTTAGAATATAACATTTGGGGAATAACTATTATATTTTTCATATTTCTTTTGAGAGAGAAGAGTTCATTATTATATAAATTCTTGTGGGAAAGTATAGGATTATTAGGATATTCTTCATAATTACAATGTATAATTGCCAATTTATTATTTTCTTTATGATTATATACAATCTTAGAATCATATAATTTATGACAATTTGTACAAACTGCCATCCTTAATTTTGATTGAAAAATTCTTAACTTCTTTTTTATTATAAATAAAGAAACAAAAAATTCACAAAACTAAGAATTATCGATCATCATAAGCATATTGTTTAAAAACTTAATTAAGGTTTTCAGAACTATATCAGGTATCCAGTACCTTTGTTAAAACTTAAATAACTACAAAAATATCTCTACATCTAATTTATTTTCTAATTCTGTTCCTTCATAGCCTTCGCTATCACTTTCTAACTCAGGTGCAGTAAATAAGTTATTATCATTTCCAGATACTTTATTATCTGTGTCTATATACTCTACTTAATCATCATCATCATCTTCTTGGTCATTAATCAATTTATCATCATCACGTTATTCTTCTAAGTCATCAATTAATTCATAATTTTTTTTATCTCCTATATCAAACAAAAGTTCATCATCATACATATCAGATATCTCTTCTATATTAGGTTCACGAAATTAATTATTTCTTGATCGAGATGATGATGCAACTCCGAGACTTAATCTTGTAAACATGTCACTTACAGATATATCCCTATTCAACTTTGGAATGTTAGTTGTATCCTCAACCAGAGATACTGTTGGGAACTTATTTTTCTTTTCTTGCTACTCTTATTTGATGTATTTTTGTTCACTTAATTAAAATATTATAAATATTACACAAGTTAAAAATTGATATATCGGGCTTTCAATATGGTCATTTAAATATCCAATATGATTATTTATGATCATGATGTATATGAAGTTTTAACAATTAACTTACCTTCACAATTAAACTTTCTTGCTTCAATTATAACTAATTAAATTTTTTTTTTTATTAGATTTCCATATAATTTTCTTATTAACATGCTTTTTTTGAATCCATCCATCAACTTCTTTTCCTTCACAATCTGTACAATTACAAATATATTTATATTTTTTTTTTAGAATTTATCAAATCAAATAAAAGAGATTCCACTCTGGCAGTCAATTTTTGAATTTTGTTTTTCAAATTAGTTATTTTATTCAAAAAATAATTAAAAGATATATTAGTCAAAGTTTAATAAATTTATTTTCAAAAAAAATATTCCTAAAATATTCACATAGTCAAATATTTGTTTTCTTTATAATGCGCAAAAATTATTTACATAATTTTTAGAGATGATATGTATTCGCGTCTCAAATTTTATTTAATTAATGTATTTTTATAAAATATATATAGTAATGATTTATTTAATATGGATAGTAAATAATTTATATTATTATATTAAATTTAATATGTTACACATTACTCCTTTGATCTGTATATAAGTAAACAAATACCTTTTTTTAATTATCAATAATACAATTTTCTCTCTTTAATATATATAATATTTTCTTGTAGCCTATTTCTATTCATTTCTTTAAAATACATATAATGTTAATAATAATATCATGTTGATAATACTATATTATATAATTCTCATATATAATACTAGAAATTGATATGTACAGTCGACCCTCCCTAAAGGCACCTCCTGTATAATCACTTCCCCCTTAAGTCACACTTGTACTTGGTCCCAATTTTTTTACATATAAAATTCCTCCTTTATAGTCACGATATTATATATAAATATAATCACACCAATTGTCAGTTCTGATATTATATAAATATATAATAATTTCCTTCCGTATAATCACAGGATTTTTATGTAACATCAGGATGAACATGTGAAACCTATAAATCTATATAATACACAGTTCGCACGCAGTTCGCGCAATAGATAAATAATAAAATACCGAGATTATTCAAATTTCCATCTATTCCTAAAATACATAAAATACAATACGAAAACGTACTGCTGTTAGTATCAAAATAAAAAAAGAAATATGTGAATATATGTTGGTAAATCCTGATATAAATCAAATGGCAGTTTCATTATTTTTTAATATTAAATATACTGGATTAAATATTAAAAGAGCAACTATTAGTAAAATATGGAAAGATAGGTAAAAATGGTTAGCAATATTTTCTAATTCACAAACCTCATAAATATTTTGTCAACGCTTTGTTCAGTTTCCTAAACTAGATAAAGTAATGCAAATTTGGACATCTCAAGTAGTAGCAGCAGGACTTCCTATATCTGACGGGATATTGAAAGAAAAAGGGTTAGAGTTTGCTAGAATATTAAATATAGAAGATAAATTAAAATATGCAAATGGTTGGATATATAAATTCAAATTAAGAAATGGTTACAAAAATTTAATTTTTCAGGTGAAGCTAATAGTGCACCATTTAATACTCTTCCAAAAGAGCGTACAAAGTTACGTATGATTTTAAATGAATATAGTTATGATAATATTTATAATGCTGACAAAACAGGACTTTTTTTTCGAATGGAACCTAATCAAACACTTAGTACATAAGTAATTGCAGGTCGAAAAAAGGTAATTTAAAAAAAAATATTTAAAAAATTTTAAATTATTTTTTTAAAATTTATTTTATTATTTTTTATATTCTTTTATTAATTATAATTAATAATTTTACTGCGCCATCCGATTTGATATTATTTGCATATTACATAACTAATTTAAAATTTATTTTATTATAATTTTATAGGACAAAAGCAGAGTATCTGTTCTTTTTTGTGCAAATGCTTCAGGTTCTCATAAATTTTGACCACTTGTAATTGGAAAAGTACTTAATCCTCATTGCTTTAAAAATTTCAACAGATCAGCACTTCCAGTTATTTATCGTACTAACTCTAAAGCATGGATGTGTGCAGATATATTTATTGAATGGCTTAATTATCTTGATAATTATTTTCGAACAATGAATAGAAAAATAGTACTTCTCATTGATAATGCAGGTTCACATTTTAATGCAAAAAGATTAGAAAAAGATAATTCTGATATCTTTGAAGATGAATTTGACAATGAACAGAGATCAAGTAATAAATCAAAAAATATACCTAAGTTTTTCAATATTAAACTCATTTATCTTCTGCCTAATACAACAGCTCATTTACAACCTATGGATGCAGGAATTATCCATAATTTTAAAGCAAAATACAAACAAAAATTTTGTAGAAATTTAATTCAACAATTTGATTCTGGAATAGATCATATAAAATAAATTTATTTTTATTAACAATTTTAATTTATTATTAATAATATTTTTTGTATTATTAAATTTTATTAACTTTATTTGATTAATTATAATTTTCATTTTTTAATTTTAATTGTAGAAATAAATTAAATATTAAAGATGCTATTGATCATATAACTGAAGGATGGAATAATGTTACTCAAAAAACAATCTATAACTGTTAGATCAAAACTGGTATACTTCTATCTTCAGATAAAATTGAAACAGAATCAAATGATGATGATAATGATGAAGAAGAAATTATAGATCTTCTTGAGAACTTATCTGAAAAGGATAATATACAAGAATATTTTCAATTAATTAATTATAATATTCCTACTGAAGAAAATCTTACTGAAGAATAAATTATCAATTTAATATAATATGAAGAAAATGAAGAAAGTGATAGTGATGAAGAAGAAGAAATATTACCAGTATTGGTTAAAGATGTAGTTAGTAAGTTGAAAACTTTTATTAAATATTTTGAACAACAAGATAATAACTCTGAATTTAATATTGATAATTTGTGAATTTTTAGAAAATATTTACAAATGTCTAAAGTTATTAAATTCAATTCAAAAAAACAACAGTTTCTTGATAATTTTCTTTAATATTTGATAAATATATAATTTTTTATTATTTTTATAATTTAGTTTAATAATATAATGTTTTACATTTATAATATAATATAATTTAACTTAATAATAGTTTTTGATACATTTATAATATAATTTAGCTTAATAATATAATGTTTTTAATACATTTATAATAAAATATAATAAAAAAAAATTTTGCACTATTAATATTTTATAATCACACTTTTATAAAATTATATATATATGTAATTATATAAAAAAACCCCACTATAAGAACACCTCTCTATAATCACATCATTAGATGATCCCGAAAAGTGTGATTTTAGGAGAGGTCGACTGTATATTTTTTATTTTTTTTTTATTTTTGAATAGTAACTGATTTTTCCTTTCAATTTTGAAGAAGGTAAAGTTTTAAAAATTAAAATACTTTGTCTTTAAATATATATTCCATATATTTTAGCTACATATGAAAATAACGTGTCATAATTAAGAACATAAGTAATATGAAAATATTACATCATATAATATCATATATAATATGTCCAATATTATATTTTTTGATATCAAAAAATCTGAAAAATACAATATATAAAGAACTACTTTTTTTCTTTCTTTCTTTCTTAAAAAAAAATATTTTATTTAATTAGATTAGAATAGTTAAAAAAAATAAAATATTTTTTTTTAAGAAAATGATAAAATCAAAAAAAAATAACAAATTTTTTTCATCCTATCAAGATTATACTTGCACGCAAAATTATTTTGGAGTTCCGAAATTACAATTTCAGGAAAAAAAGTCGAAATAGTTTTTCATAGAAAACAAAATTATTTTACTTAAAACCCGAAATTTTTTGACCACCCAGATTTATTCTTTGATTAAAGATACATATAACTAG